GTGAAGGAACAGTTCCCAAGCTTCTTCTGAGACATTCTGAAAACAACCTGGGAAATGAATGAGATTAGACAGGGAATGGCTTTTGCCTATTGTACAGCTGAATCACTCTGCCCATGGAAGTCAAGCTGAATGGATAATAGAAAAAAAATAGCATTTTGTCTTTCTGAAGAAAAAAAACACACATGCTATTTTCTCAATCTCACAAAGGATGATGAATGCAACTCCTAAATCACTTTATTAATCTATTTTTAAAAATCACCTTTTGCCTGTGCATTAATTGGCTTTGTCGTCATGGTGAAGCCAGGATTATCATAACTCAGTTTATGGCAGACAGTTGTGGATTTATGCCAAATGAACGACAGGCTTCGTAGTTGGTAAGAAATGGAGAATTGGATAAGAGGCAAACTCCTGCTGTTCAAAAGATTGGGTACATTAAAGCCCTCCGTTGGCATGTTCTGACCCTCTTCTGAACCCAATTCTGTTTTCTGTTCCTCCTTTTATGAAAAAGACGGTGCTAAGCTGTTAAACAAGGAGCCCTTGGGGTGCCAATAACAGCACAACAAAAAAGAGCTGCTGTATCAGCATGGTCTGCTTCTTTCCACTATCAGTCATTCAGAAGCTGTTTGCTTGTTTCCCACTCAAGTACACAAGTCATCTTGTAATACAGATTTTCAATGATGGAGTCACAGTGACCAAGGGGATTCTCAGGCCAGCCAACTACAAAAAGGGCTTTGTTTGCACAGCTAGCGCAGCTACTGTCATGCCCAATAACTGACGACAGCACTGTACAGTGGCTTCTGCAACTGTGCTACTTGTTTCCTACACTAAGGAGGAGGAATTTCACATTCACCATTAACCTACACAATGGAAAGCTTTCAGCACTGTCAGCGTCTATGGACAGACACACAGATTGAATTTCTTGTGGAACAGTCTCTATCTATCACCATGGAGCTGTGTAATGCCAAACAAGTCTTAACAGCGAACACACCCCAATTCAAAGCTGCACCACTTCGTATGCAAGAAACTGCATCCACCAAATACAATAATTTTATCGATGCCAGTCGTTACCACAGAGGGCAGCCTAATCCTTCATGCAATCACTTCTTCCCCAACATTCAACTGGTGTATGAACATGCACCCATGCTGTTCACTGTAAATGATACATCTAATAAAACATGAATGTATGCACCATACAAAACAGTATTGTTTAAACATCAAACTGAAATGCCTGACTCCAAGCAAGAAACCAGATTCCTTAGCTCCTCTCAATTATGGTTAAAGTTAACTGCACAAATAACAACAAATTCCATTAAATTTGAACGATCAAGTACTTATGGGTATATAAAATATAATAAAAACATAGTGAAAGGCACTAAAGTAAAACTCACATAAATCATATCAGTCAGACCATAACACTTAATATGACTTACGAAGTCCAAGTTGCAGGCAAACTGTAGAAGTCGAAGAAAATCCGATTTAATCAATAATCTACACAGCGCATGCAAAATTTATTGCAGCCGGTAAGTGCGCTTGTGGTGATAATAATAATAATAATCCTTGCATTTGATATAGCGCTTTTCACGTCGGGAGGACGTCCCAAAGCGCTTCACAGAACACACTGTAAAGTGAATTGACTGTATATTTGTGGGCGAACGCGGCAGCCAATTGCGCACAGCAATGTCCCACAAACAGTCGTAGATTGAAAATGACCAATTTAATTATTGTTTTTGGTTTTTTGGATGGATTATTATTAGGCTCTGTGTGGAGTAAGGAAACTTGCCCAAGGTTTCGCCCTCTGCCTGGAATTGAACTCAGGTCTCTCACTTGCAAAGCGAGTGCTCTAACCACTGAGCTACAGGACTCCACGGGTTCTGGGTGATGGGTTAAGACTACATCTCCTGTGATTCAATTTGTCTTCACCCGTTGCCGCATGCACACTTACCGGCAAGCGTTGGAATCACATTGAACTATGAGAAATGAAGTTTTTCTGTGAATAAGTCGAGGATCTACGTTTCCTGCGATTCAATGCAGCCAGCTGGTAAAGCCTCCGGGAAACACGGGTGTAATGGAGGGTAGGAGAGCAGCAGTATGAGTTAAAAGCAGAATAATACGAGTCGTGCAAAGAAATCTAAGTGCTTTTAATGTGAATATACGACTTAGGTGCTTATACAATTTATAAAGATAAGACTTATGCAAGTTTTACTGAATTTCCTGAATATAAATGTAATAATGTTGTTGTTGTTATTGGTGTTAGTTTCAGAGACCCTAAAGTTTAGGCATTTGTGAATCCGAAACCTAATAAGGTAAAGTAATGCCAGAGTCTCCCTAAACCCTGAGACTTTTCAGAAGCATCGCTGCTGGTCTCCCTAACTCACACCCATCACTCCAGGTTCCAGTGTTGCCCTGTCTCCCAGTGGATCGACTTCAAGATCCTCACCCTGACCTATAAATCCCTTCACACTGAACCTCCCTATCTCTCTGATCATTTTCTACCTCACTCCTCTGATCGCTCGTTATGGTTAGGGAACTTGAGGTTGCGCTGCTTAAACTGTAAAGTTCCCTGCTCCCTCCATGTCACCATTAATGGCCAAGCCTTCAGCTGCTATGTCACTAATCTCTAAAACTCTCTCCTCTACATCTCCAGCTTGACCCTTTCTTTCTGACTTTAAATTCCATCATAATACCTATTTCTGACTGTGGTCACCTCCCCTTATCTTTCTTCCTTTTCTTTCTCCTATGCTCAGGTCCGACCTCTCCATTGCAAAGCAGTCCAAGATGTTATCCCACATAAATGGCGCTAAATAAATAAAAGTTGTTCTCATAAACCTCATCAAGGTGGCCAGTACCTAGACACGTGCTGAGATCCCTACCACTACCATCTCTTGAATGCCTGGGATACCAAACCAAAAAGTTTGTACTTACTACATACACCTATCCCTTTACTGGGCTATAAGCCAGTGAGAGACAAAACAAGAGTGAGGCAAACAGCAAGAAAGCAAAATAGAAAGCAAGAATACGAACATATGTGAAGAGTCATCATGGAAGGTTAGAAAGCAAAAAACTTTCATCAAATACATAAGCAAAGAAGGCACACACCTGTAGGGATTAAAAAAAGGGTAATTTTCTAAGAAAAATATATCTAAGCAAGATTTATTTTCAAATTCTACAAAAGACAGACCGTAAGAGAATCCACAAGCAATCTAATCTGATTGCCCGGTTAATTCAACTTCACAGCTTGAAATTCTGCTTCCTGTTGGCAGATTCTGACTGATTTTTCCCTTTCTGGCACTGATTCATCTTGAGTACAGTTTTGTGAGCGCTGGATACCTACAGTAAGTGATCATTCTTCCTTAAGTGGTCATTCTTCAGATACCAAGTTTTGGCAGGTTATGAGACCATGAGGGCCTCATACCCTTTTCTCACTCATTCTCTCCCACCCCCACACACATCAAGGATTACTTTTGCAACAACATATCATCAGTAGGGTAAAACTAATCAGTCTCACAACAGTCTAAACCCAGCTAACGTTCCCTATTTGTGGGTGAACAATCACACACACAGACACACACTTTCCAGCAGGGCCCACTGCATAGAATTAGGAACAATGATTTTTTCCAAGACTTCAAGATGCCATTCTAACAAAGAAGAACCTGTCATCCTAATAAAGCAGCCTGACGAAGAATATCTCAGTGGGAGGTGAGATCTCATTGTGATTTTCAGTAAATAATACTGGAAAAAAAACAAATTACAGAAAATTTGCAGATTAACACACACACAATACACAGTCTGTACAGAGCCATCAACATTTCTGAAGTTACATCTTTAAAAAGTAAAGGACAAAAAAGCACAAAAAAGTAAATATACGTACTACCAATAGCTCCTAACAAATTATTTAAATTTAGAAAGGTATTAACTAGGAACATCTATAAGGTAGCAACTACAAGAATAAGGTATCAACGAGGGAACCAAAAGAAAATTTAGGATAAACATCTTCACTTAGAGGGTAGCAAGAATATGAACTTGTTACCCAAAGCGGTGGTTGAAGTACAAACACCAGCACAAACTGGTTAGGCCGAGTGGTCTGTTTCTCTGCTGTACAGTCATGTAATTTATGTAAACGAATTATCTGACCTCCCACCATACAATTGTCAATGCTGAAGTCTGGATTAGGGCTTTCAACGTGGGCTAGTGGAATCAGGGCTTTTGGGTAAACAGACCACAATTCTCAGAAAAAAGCATGATCTTGACATTCAGAAACTGTGATCTGCATGGACTTCCCAATTCTTTCCTCCGCAAGCTGCATACCATCCAAGACTCCCTATCATCCCCATCCTCGCCTGGCTCCACGGACTCCTCATGCCCCAGAGGACTGAGTTCAAGGTCCTTGTCCTCATTTTTAAATCCCTCCATGATCTTTCCCCACCCTACCTCTGCGCCTTTCTTGATCTATCCACCCCCCACACCCCCCAACCTCTCGGCAGGCACTGACCTGCTTCCCGTCCCCCGCCCTGCAGGCCCCACCATCAGCGGCTGAGCTTTCAGCCTGTCTGCCCCCACTCTCTGCTTTCCCTTGACTCCTTCAAAGTCTGTCTCAAGATCTTTCTCTTCTGACTGAACCTTCATCACCAATACCCATACAATTATCCCTCCAAATAATACCTCCAAAAGAAATAATAATAATAATTTGGTCAATCAATCCACGACTGTTTGTGGGACATTGCTGTGTGCAATTGGCTGCTGCGTTTTACCCACAAAATATGCAGTCAATTCGCTTTACAGTATATTATTGTGAAGCGCTTTGAGACGTCTCAAAGACGTAATAAGGCGTTATGTCAAATGCAAGGATTATTATTATTTTATATTGTTACAATTAGCTTTGCAAGCATATGGAATTCTTATTATGGACTACAAGTGTGCCATCTTATTCTTAAATAGGTGAAACCACAAATGGGTCTCCACACAATAATGTAAGTGCAACCAGTGATTTTTGTCTCACTAACCTGTTCCGCCATACTTGTCCGATATGTTAATATCAATGTCTGACTTCAGCCTCAGCATTGTCCGCATGACATCATCACTACCCTTTCCTGCAGCCCACATAAATGCAGTTCGTCCCTCCAGGTCGGGATCATCTTTCACGGATGGATGATTCAAAAATACTTCAACAGTCTCCTGTAAAGTGAGAATTTAGAAGCTATTCAACACTATTTGTATTCAATGGTTTGTAAAATGCCTTTCAGGCACCTTCAGCCTGTCACATGCATTTTATTCTGTGAAGTACTTTCAAGTGAATTTAAATGAGTGGTGTGTCATAACTAGCATTGCTGGGTAACCAATCAATACTATCATTATTTACCAATCTGTCAATTAAAAATATTACTATTAAGCAGAGCTCTACTTCTGCTATTCTTCCAAAAAATACTTTTTAAACCTGTGTGTTTTTCACCCACTTGCAGTCAGTCTGTGGGTTCCCCAAGCACCCTTTGGGAGCTTCTATGAACACATTAAATGGCAATGTAGGCGTAATGGGCTGGATATCTACTTCTGGCAACATTTTAACACTGAAACACTGGTCCATGCCTTTATCACCTCAAGGCTGGACTATGGGAACTCTCTCCTCGCCGGCCTTCCCGCCACCTCCCTCCACAAGCTGCAGGTCATTCAGAACTCTGCAGCTCGTGTCCTGTCCCGCACCAGGCTTCGCGACCACATCACTCCCACCCTCGCTCGCCTCCACTGGCTCCCCATCCCCCAGAGGATCGAATTCAAGATCCTCATGCTCACCTACAAGGCCATTCACGGCCTTGCTCCCTCCTACCTCTCCGACCTACTATCCACCTACTTACCTGCCCGTACCCTCCGTTCCTCCGGCTCCGGTCTGCTCCACACCCACTGCCCTAACCGCCCTACCATCGGTGGCCGGGCCTTCAGCCTCTCAGCCCCGAGGCTCTGGAACTCCATCCCCCAGTGCCTTCGCCGCCTCCTCCCTTTCCTCCTTCAAGGCCGGTCTCAAGACCTTTCTCTTCAACCGTGCCTTCACCTCCCCTCTCGACTCTCTAACCCCTCCTCGCTCCCTCCCTTCCCTCACCCTGACCATTTCCCCCCTGCTCGGGTCCTCACCCAACTATCCAGCGCCTTGGGACGTCCTCCCGATGTGAAAGGCGCTCTATAAATGCAATCTTGTTGTTGTAATGTTTTTAGAATCACAAGGATAAAACAATAAAATATAAACTGAAGCAGACTGATCTTTAAACAAATGATAACCAATGTTTTACTTTTTTGGTCAGTAATGATGAATAAAGTAGTGTCTTTACTTTTTTTGTCCTTTTTTGTCCTTCGAAAACACATCACCATATGACCCGACCCATACCAACCCCACCATAAGAGTTTCCACGTAGCCCACCTGTTCATGGAAATTCAGAGTTCCTTATTGGAATGAAATGCGCACTCTCTCCCTGGAGGAGCATGACCCTCTGACATATATGTGGAGGTTATTAGGCACAGGTTAGCAAAAGCCAAGGTGTGGGAATCCCAGTGACTACTTTTATACAATTGTACTTCCTCCTGGTATCCTCCTCACTATTTGATGACCCAAACGTGACCATGAATTTGCAGAATGATCCAACCAAGAGCAGGAATTTGTATCATAGTGAACACCAATCCTACCATTCCATGGAACAGTGCAGCAATCAAATACTGAACACCTTGGTCTCAGGGTTCTCAAGGAAACGGGACACATTCTTCAGTTTGTAGTTCTGCTCAGCCATGCTCAGCCCAGTTCAATATTGTAAATTATGTCAGAAGTGCCAAAGTCACTCCTAATTATTTAAGAACAGGAACTATTTAATTATTAAATTAATCAATTAATTAATTAATTTAATTAATTATTTAAGAACTATTACTTTGCTCCTTGAAGCCCAGATTTGGCAGATCACACACAATCTGGTTTATTCGGATTTTGCTCCAACTGTTTAATCTCTCAAGAAAGATTCTGCAGTCTTTCTCCAGGCTTCCAATACAGTAAACAATACAGTACCACAACATTTACTCATCTTACATTCTCCATTATAAATCCTTCAGTTGCCTACTTTGCAAAGACAAGTATAACTTTTAATAAAATTTACAATTTTAAAAACAACTTAAAAATGCACAATTGTATTCCTTTATTTCCCACTCACCTAATGTTCACTATATACAACAATACAATACAAATTTAGATTAAAAAAGTGCCTTTCATGTCAACTGTTAACACCTTTGACTATTAAGTCGACTGTTAGGACATCCAAAGATGCTCAACAGTTCTCTGGCCTACATCACAATAAATTCCCTCTCAGAAATAAGGCGCTTTAACAAGTAAAAGCCATAGATTAGAACAGGACAATGGAATGTTGAGAAAGTGCCTACATTACTGTGTAGGTAGTTGGAGCTGATTCCACCTAAAAATAATAATAATCTTTGCATTTGATATAGTGGCTTTCACATCATTGAGGCGTCTCAAAGCGCTTCACAGGATATACTGTATAGTGGATTGACATGTGTATTTTGTGAGCGAAACGCGACAGCTTATTGCACAGCTTTGACTATGCGAATCATCGGCCCATCCTCGCCCCACTCCACTGGCTTCCCATCACACAGAGTATACAGTTCAAGATCCTGGTACTCACCTTCAAAGCCCTCCAATGGTCTTGCTCCCACCTACCTCTGCGACTTCCTAACCCTCTACCATCCAGCCCGCTCCCTCTGCTCAGCGGGCTCCGGCCTGCTTCACGTCTCCCGCCTCGCTCACTCCACCATTGGTGGGTGGGCTTTCTGACACTCTGCCCCCACTCTCTGGAACTCCATCCCAGAGTCCCTCCACCTCGCCTGACTGTCCAGGGCCTTAGGACATCCTCCCGACATGAAAAGCGATCTACAAATGTAATTTTCTTGTTGTTGTTTTCATGTTCCTACCTGGGGATTGAACCCACAATCTTCTGACTCAGAGGTGAGAGTTCTACCACTGTGTCAGATTGACACACAGAAATAATCATCACTTGAGAGAGAAAAACATGATCACAGAGAGGAGATTCTCTTATCATAAGGAAAAATAAGCTTCTTCTGGTTGTTAAGGTGGGTTAAAATATTCCAGGGCACTACTTAGAAGTGTTTCATAGTTTCACTGACAAACCTTGAAAGAGTTGAGAGAAGGAGTGAATCGGAAGGACTCAATGCAGCTCCAGACTTATGTATCAGTGAGAACTTTTTTTTTAAACAATACACAGAAAAAAAAGCAATCAACATTTTATTGTCATCATCAGCCAGTTTTGTGAAAGATTTCCTATTTTCTGGAAGAGATAATGTTTAAAGATAATAAATAAATGAATATTTGACTTCATCACGGCTTTTTGCTGTGAGCTAGTCATTGCTACAACATACAATAAAGAGGACACAGAGTATGAGCATATTGGTTAGTATAAATTATTATTATTACACAGTTTAAGGTTAATTATCCCCTTCTGAGTAAAGTAGTTATTAATCATTGTCCAAGCTGCCAATCTGTTCCTTGATGTGTCTGCCTGCCGTCTGTCTTTTATGAAGTTCTTCTTCTCCTGTCATTCTTCTTACTGATCTTGTTACTTTTATATTTGCTGATGCTAGATACTTTGCAAACCTTCAAAATTCATTGTTTATGCCCATAAATAAAAATAATCCTTGCATATAGTACCTTATTAACTTGAAACCTTAATTTTTCTGTTTGATCCTCAGTTCTGTTTACTTCCTGACTAAGACAGCTGTTTTTCATTTTCGCCACATTACCGACCTCCGTCCTTGGTTCATTTCCAATGTAGCCAAAACCCTCATCTACGTCTTTGTTATGCCCAGATTCAACTCCCTCAATGCCCTTCTTGCCAGCCTCCCAGCCGACCATCCACAAGCTCCCGCTCATCCAAAATCTGACTGCTCGCATCCTTACCTGCACTAAGCTTGACACACCTGTCACCCCTTTCCACGTCAGGCTCCTAATCGTCTTTTTACCTCTTTCCTAAGTTTGCATATACACTTCTGTTTCCCTCTCTGTTATCTATTCTGTACTTTTCCAATGCTTTTTTTCCTGAGCTCCAGTTTTGCCTTCACCTCCTTATTCATCCAAGGCATCCCACTATTAGCTAATTTTCCCTTATTTCGTAATGGAATATATATAATTTGCATCTTTTCTATATTGTGCTTAAAAATCTTTCATTGTTGCTCAACATCTTTGTTTGTCAATGTTTCCCTCCAGTCTTCCTCAGCTACTTCATTCTCAATGGTAGGATGAAGAAATTCCAGGCAGAGTCAATGCTACAACATAGTCAAAAAATCTAACTAGATATTCCATGATTGCTGGCTTTTCTGGGAGTAACATCAAATGATGACTATTCGCTTCTATGTACTATATAGTTCAGTGAGTTTTTGCAGCAGTAGCTGCAGCTGTGGCCATTGTCTACTCAGATCCCTGCATCTTAATTTGCCACTGAAGCTAACTTGTCAGCATATCAGAAGTTAGTTAAATGTGTTCAAAATTTTCAACCAACCGACAGAATCTAGTATTCTGGCAGTAAAGGGAGTGAAGAAAATGCCAAAAAAAGACACTAGGAAACACAAGGAAAAACATGTTTCAGTTAAACAAAACTGTTTGTTTAAGGAAAACAGTGCATTAATTCAAAGGGTTTTTGGCATTAAAAGAGCTGGTGAGTTCACATTAACTTTTAAAATCTTAACAGCTGAAAACTTCAACTTTGAAGCTCTGTCCAAGTCTACCTCGGTTTCCATGGCCTCCATCTCGCTTTCTGCAGCATTTAATTAATAATACACTGTTATTGTGAGGCTGTATATCCAAGGCTGATATCATCAAGGCATGCACGTCAACAGCTATGTTGAAATCAAAACTCAGTCCACCATCTCATTTTCCCAGAACCTCCCTTAGCGTGCCTCTTCTTTACAATTGACAGGTTTATAAAGCTCAAGCTTGGCTTTCTCAATTTATCCTATCTTTTCTCAGGCTCTTTTCTACTGACAACTAAAAACAATTCACAGCAAGCAGGATCTATAAGTGTTGAACTTCATTGCAAGANTTTTTTTCCCCAATGAGAGACTTAGTGATGAATCAGACACATTATTTAATCAATTGTAAAGATTATAGTGTAATTTTTTTCACCTCCAATCCCCCTGAGCATTTAAGTTAAAGCATACACATAAACCACTAAAGGTATTTGCGGGTACTACATGTTTTAGACAGCAGCAAAACAACAAGAAAACAAAATATTAATAAAGCACCAATTGATGGTCTTTGGAATTTACATTTCACTACAGTTAGTGTTACAATGTTCAAAAATAAAGTTTTCTAGAAATAGGTAACAAAACTGTCAGTAACTTGTAACATCAGTTCGCCCACAAAATACCCAGTCAATCCACTTTGCAGTATATCCTGTGCTTTAATCTTTACGACGTGATAAGGCGCTATATAAAATGCAAGGATTATTATTATCCGTGTTTATTAGGATTATCAAAGGCCCTATTGAAGACAATTGTTCTAAGGCCTGGTCACTTGATTTTTCGGATATGAAGTGGTTGTAAAAGAGGGTAATAAAAGAACAAGTTGAAAATCAGCTAGTCTGGAAGGTTGGGTCATCTGAAATAGGTGCAGTTCAGGTTCATATGAAATAAGCAGGGTTAAATTCCACTTAGGTCTAGATTTAATTTATTATTGTAGTATTTATAAACAATACAGAATCTGGTAAATTCTTAAATACCATCATCATTTTGAAGCTAGTTTTCTGTAAGTTCTAGAGAAAACCAGCTTTAAAGTTAAGATTGAATCCCAACAAGTTGTCAAATCCTGGGCATTCTGAGATGCTACATTAATTAAGCAAATCTAGATCCATGCTGTGGATCCACTTACATGCCTTGACCTGCTCAGCTTTCTCCCACATCTACAATACTGCTCGCCTCTGCCACTACCTCTCCTCTCGGGCCGCCATACTTTTATCACGTCTAGTCTTGATTTCGCCAACTCGCTGCTCGTTCCACTTCCCAGCTCTTCCTGCCACAAACTGCAAACCATGAAGAACTCTGCAGCTCGTGTCCTCTCCTGCATAGACTCCGTGAGCCTATCACCCCATCCTTGCCCTGCTCAACATCCCCCAGAGGATTGAGTTCACGATCCTTGTCCTCACTTTTAAATTCCTCCAGTCTTGCTCCACCCCATCTCTGTGATCTTATAAAAGCCTAATAACCCGCTTGCTCCCTCTGCATTGGCCTGCTTCATGTACCCTGCCCTGCTCCCTCCACCATCAGGCCTTCAGTCTTTCTGCCCCACTCTCTGGAATTCCACCCTTTGCTTTGCCTCTTCCCTCAATTCTTTCAAGGTCCATCTCAAGACCCTTACCACTCCCTTACCATCTTGGCCCCCACCTCTCCCGAATCCAAAGCCCAGTTTGCGCGTAAACCCGACTGTCCAGCACCTTGGAATGTCTCCCGACGTGAAAGGCCCACTACAAATCAATTTGTTGTTGTTGTAATGCAGTTAAAGCATTTCATTATTTGGTCATTAGTTTGCAGCTGAAATTTATAAGTTCTCGATAATAGTACAAATGTTATTCTCCATCATCACAGGTAAGAATCAGAAAAGTACAATTCCAAACTGCAGAAAGGTTACTAAGGTTCTGTGCAATAGTAAGGTGTTGCTTACGGCAAAATTGCTCTGAGCAGCATAGTGCAATGGTGTAGCTCCCTGGCTATCCGATGGAATAGTGCCAGACTTGTTCCTTTCCAGAAGAAGGTGTCCTATTTGAGCATGACCTAAAGATAAATGAAAAACAGTTCATAATTACATCCTGGAAACATGAAAGGAAAAGAACAGCAAATAATGAATTTTAAACCATGCTTTCAGGGGCATCACAGTTTAGTACATTATTAGTTTGAAGAATACAAAGGCCCAATATCTATTCTGTGCCAAATTCATTGATCTCATTCAGGACAACAATGAGGGAACTACAATTGGCCTTGTGAATAATCTCCCCACCCATATGGTTCAGATTGCAATGTTTCCTGCATGTGTGAAGATCAGGATCAGCACTGATGTTCTCAAAGAGTTGAACAACCTGCTAAAAATCATTCGCTGGGAATTATGCACGAAGAACAGCCACTTAGGTGAATTGCACCATCAGGAAAGGAGCGCAGGAGAAAATTATAATCTTGCACAGACATTATGACCCTGAAACATTTCTGCACATAAAATAAAAACTTGAAATTCCAATTAAGAATATGGATTATATTCCAATTTCACAACTACCGGAAAGAGTGTGCAACAAAATTTACATTTACAACACAATATACAGAATATATAGTGCCTTTCACGATGAAAGGGTGTTTCAAAGAGCTTCACAATGCTGGCTGGTTACTTGAAGGGATGGGAGCTGAAGGGTGTGAGGAAGGGAAAGAACAACAACAATTTGGATTTATATAGTGCCCTCCACGCCGGACGGCGTCTCAGAGCGCTTTACAGTAACGGATCCCAGGACCAAGCCAGGGGGAGGGGGATGGTGAAGGTGACCAAAGGCGCGGTCAAAAAGAAAGGTCTTCAGCAGAAACCTGAAAATGGGGAGCGAGGGAGCGAGACGAAGAGAGTGAGGAAAGAAATTCCGGCATAGTAGCTGAAGGCACGGCCGCCAAGTGTGGAGCGGAGGACTTGGGGGACGAGGAGGAGGCCAGACCCGGAGGAACGAAGGCAACGGGCAATGAGGTTCGTCTTGAAGTGAAGGGAGCGACTGGGTTGGTAGATTTATTGGAGGTCGCAGAGGTAGGGTAGGGGAAGCCGTGGATGTATTTGAAAGTGAGAACAAGGTCTTAAGTTTGATTACCTGGGAGTGGGAAGTCAATGAGGCTGAGCGAGGATTGGGGTGATATACTCAGGGAGCCTGGTGCATGAGAGGACATAGGCTGCAAAGTTCAACATCTTATCCAGAGGTAACAATGCAGGACTCCACCAGCACTGCACACGAGTGTCAGTCCTGCAGTACTGCACAGAGGTGTGTCGCAACCTTCTCCCATAGATTGTAGAGTTCTACCAACTTGAGCCATCCTCCTTTTGGGGGAGGGGTAGGGGGCGGGGGGCGAGGTGCAGGGGAGGAAGGTAATCAGGGGTTTCCTTGAAGCTGAGCTGCTTCTAAGGTGATGTGCTTGGCAACAGAATGTCGGAATCAAATCAATCCTCTGCGGTCTCAGTGGACCAGGCATTATACCAGGGCACTGCTGACAACAGACCAGCAAACCTTTGACATTGACAGACCACACAAAACAACTGTGCCAAACTATCTAACCATTAATAATCAAACATATAATTTCAATCATGTGTTTGTTTATGTGTTTACATATTTTTAAAGAATGTTACTTTGGTACTTTTCTCCCAAGGAGAGGGTGGAGAATGGCAAGAATCTTACAGGTCAATACCAGGAACTGTCAGTTCGTTTGAAGCTGCTCTTCTAAGGCTGGTCAATAGGATTCTGTATATACTAGAAAGCAAAGAGTTTTCAATTACACTGGGAGGAAGGCCGCTAGTACAACATGAGTGTAGTGAATAATTGGATAGATTTTCCCTTATGCATCTTTTACAGTAAGTTTCGAATCTCAGTTGAGCAGTTAGGCCACGTAGTTGGGGAATACGTGGCCTACATGGAAGGTAATGCACTTCCCTGGTAGTAGGATAGGGAAAATAAAGGGCTGTAAGATGTGCAATGCCTAGGAGGGAACACAAATGAAAGATTAGCAAAACAATAGAAACATTACTTGGTTCCACACCCTTTTGATATGGTAGCAGAACTAGTATGGGGATACCCAAGAAAGTGGGTAAAAATAAAGTGGATGCACGGGGAGGATGAGAGTACTTTCTTTTGAAGAATGTGATTTTTTTTATTGCACTTTGCTGGTTTAGCATTTATTATACGTGTCTGGTTTGGGAAGACCAAGAACATTAAGCCAAGAACCATAATAATAATAATCCTTGCATCTGATATAGCGCTTTTCACGTCTTCTAGGTGTCTCAAAGCGCTTCACAGAATATGCTGTAAAGTGAATTGACTGTATCTTTGTGGGCGAAACATGGCAGCCAATTGCGCACAACAGTGTCCCACAAACAGTTGTGGATTGAAAATGATCAATTTATTATTGTTTTGTTTTGGAGGGATTATTATTAGGAGTGTGGAGTAAGGAAACTTGCCCAAGGTTTTGCCCTGTCTGGAATTGAACCCAGGTATCTGTACTCTAACCAGTGAGCTACAGGACTCCATGATTCTTGACGGTTTTGCACAATTGAATAGTTTTTTTTCAAAAGGCGATCAAAGAATTGTGAAAGCAGATGTTTCGTCTTGTATAGTTTGGGACATGTGTCTATTCATTAACTGGCTATATTTTACAATACAAAATAGGCCATCAGGACATTTCCAGAGTTACCCATTAGTTTCACTGACTTGCCCTTTATATTTTTTTATGNTTTTTTTGTTTGCAGATTACCTATTTTAACCATATGATACAATACAAATTTCTGTAGCGATTTTCATGTCAGGAAGCTTTCCCAAAGCATAATCCTTAGTGTAAAGAAAAATCCGAACTCTCCNTTTTTTTTGAAGGATCTTAAATTTATGCCCTCTGGTTCCTGACTCACTGACCAAAGGAAATAGTTTCACACTACATTATTGAAGTCTCTCAAAATTTTTAAGACCTCTAACAGTGCTCCTTTCAAACAACATTGTTCAAGTGGCTACAGTCCTAACTTCTTTGGCATCTCATCATAACTAAAGCTCAATGATAGTAACATTCCTTGAATCCTCACAGAATTGTGTATTTTGTAGGTGAACAATTTGTGCACAACAAGGCACTACAAACAGCTATGAAGTGAAAGACCAGTTTTATGTGGGGGACTGTTGGTCAGAACAATGGGAGAAACTCCCTTCTCTTTTCAAACAATGCATGGGATCTGTAATGCCCATCTGAACAGGACAACAAGCCCTCAGTGGCACCTCCCAAATGCAACATATCCCAGCACTGCGTTGAAGAGTTAGTCTAGACCAGCGTGGTCCAACAGGCGCCATGTGATTTTATCCGTCACTCGACCATTTCCACCATTCCAATTTCCACTCTCTTCCTCCCTGGTGAACGTCCTCCCAGGGCAGCGGCAGGTGCCGGCGATTGGAAGGACGCAGCGCGCAGAGACTTTACTGCAGTCTGTCTGGAAGGCAAGTACGTCTCTTACCAACCGTGTCCTTAGCAACCAACTGCTGGTTCCTGCCGCTGCAGATAGTGACCCGCGCTTGGAAGAGAGATTGGGTTGCGGCCCATGGACCTTTCCCAAATAGGGAATCCGTCCCGTGGCAGCCAAAAGGTTGGACCGCCCTGGTCTAGACTGTAACAACAACAACAAATGACATTTGTACAGCGCCTTTCACATCAGGACGTCCCAAGGTACTGGACAGTCAGGGATTCGCACCGGCGCTGGTGGTTGGGATCAGGAGGAGTGGAGGGCGGGGAGGGTAGGGATAGGAGGGTCACCAAAGGCTCAGTTGAAGAAGAGGGTCTTGAGACAGGTCTTGAAGGAGGCAAGAGAGGGGCGAGGATAAGGAACTGTGGGATGGAGTTCCAAAAGGTGGGGTAGAGAGACTGAAGGCCTTCCCGCCAATGGTTGGGTGGGCAAGGCGGGGGACGTGAAGCAGGTTGGAACCTGCTGCGCAGAAGGAACAAACAGGTGGTTGGGGGTTAGGAGGTCACAGAGATAGGGGGGAGCAAGGCTGTGGAGGACTTTGAAGATGAGGACCAGGATTTTGAACTGTATCCTCTCTGTGTTGGGAAGCCAGTGGAAATGGGTGAGGCGTGGGGTGATATGGTCGCGGAGCCTGGTGCGGAAGAGGACACAGTCTGCAGAGTTCTGGAGGAAGAAGTTTGTGGAGGAAGAAGTTTGGGGAGGCCGACAAGCAGGGAGTTTGCTTGGTCAAGCTTGAATGTAATGAATGCGTGGATGAGGGTCTCGGTGGCCTGAGGTGAGAAACAGTGGCGGAGCTGGGCAATGTTGCGGAGGTGAGGAAAGGCAGAACTTCATATGAGTTCAAAGTCCTATCTTGGGGCTTGAACCCACAACTTTCTGATTCAAAGGTGAGAGTGCTATCAAATGTGCCTGGCTGTCAACAACAACAACTTGCACTTATATAGCGCCCTCCAAGCAGGGTAGCGTCCCAGAGGGCTTAACAGTGGTGGAGGCTGATTCCGAGCCGGGGGGGAGGTGGGAGGTAACCGTAAGCACGGTCGAAGAGGAAAGCTTTCAGAAATCCACATGGAATAAGTCTGCCAAGGTCCACAGGTGAAAGGATGGCTCATTATAGATTACAAAGGGTGGTTTTGTTGAAAAATACAAAGATCTTTAGCACTTGTGATCAACTTAGAAAGTTAACAGCCAAATTTGAAATTCTCAGATTTAAAAATGACATCATCATTTTAATAAAATGAAAAGGTCTTTTTGAATACAGAAGAACATTTTTAAGCATAGTTATTCCACTCTTTGATTAATTACCTAGTAAAGCTGCCCAATGAAGAGGTGTTCGAAATAGGTTATCATAAGAAGTTATGTTGCATCCTTCGTATAGCGTCAACACATCAACTACAGCTTTGTTTCCATCAGCAACAGCAAAATGCAATGGTGTTCGCCCTTCATAGTCCTGCCAGTTCAGCAGTGATTCGGTTGGAGCTGCTTCCTATCGCAAGAAAAACACAGAATTTCATAATGTACATTACATGCTGTGTTTTGTTTCAACAATTATTCCCCAAACTATCTTGCAAAAGGAATACTGGACAAAAAAGCATCCTTAAACTATATAAACTTATAAGAATAAAATGTCATGACTCAAAGTAGAAAATTTGGTAAAAAGTTTTGCTTTCAAACATAATATTAAAAACAAGTCCTTGCATTTGATACAGCACCTTATCACATCTTCTAGACATCTCAAAGTGCTTCACAGAATAGACTGTAAAGTGAATTGTTTTATGGGCGAAACGCGGCAGCCAATTGCACACAGCAGTGTCCTACAAACACTTGTGGATCGAGTGAACAAATTATTATTATAATTTAGCATTGCTCTGGAACACAACCCTAAGATATAACACCAGGAAAGGTGCTTCTTTTCCAGCTGAAATACTCTTATCACACAATAGAGGAGGGTATGGCCTGAGCACTGCATTGAGAATGAACTATTGAAATGTACGATATAAAAATAGGGGTTGAGTTCCCATCTAATGAACAATTCACAGTGTAAAATAAGCATTAAAGGTTATCTAAATAACTCTGGACTCAAATCAATCATCAAGCTCTTCACATATTCAAGAGTATTCAGGAATGAAAGTGTAAAATGAAACTGTAATTGTATTCACCAATAAAACGCTCCAGGGTCAAATTTAGAAATTTAATATTCTAATTGTATTCTAAGAAGAACCAGTCTCTCAGAACATGGCTGGCTGTGGGTGTATAGTGCTTCTATACAGGATGGGAATTTCAATGTTTTTCCAGTCGTGCGTTTGAGACTTCAAAACCAGTTATTTTATACAGGATCGACGTTCGTCCGCTTAAATACATTAGCTTTATAACTAAACAAATTATTAGAAATAAGCAATAAGGACACCAGATACTTTCCAACGGAATTTAGAAATGCTGGTGTTAAGAATCTTTGTATTAGTTAAAACATTCTGATATTACTGTAAACACAGAACAAGTACTGCACTATGACAAGATAAATCGTATTTAAAACCATTCTATATTTATTTAAAACTGCTGTGCGCAATTGGCTGCTGCATTTCACCCACAAAATATACAGTTAATTCACTTCACAGTATATTCTGTGAAGCACTTTGAGACATCTCAAAGACGTGATAAGGCGCTCTATTAAATGCAAGGATTATTATTATTATTATTAGTTCCTAAAGGTCAAATGAGCTACTCAGTAAATTATTTGTCAAAAATAAAGGCTAATAATAACATTTAACTATTTTCACATGGGAATGATTTAGCATGGTGTCAGTACACTGACAGGCTAAAAAAAGGTGTCCATTGGTTGCGTTAGACAGGTGTTTGCTGAATAGTGGTATATTATGGAAAATCAGTCCGAAGCGTTCTAGGGGTGATTTTTGACAGCAGAGACGGTTGCTTTAATAAGTTTGATTATAGTTTCATATGATCTTTAATGACCACCTGAACAAGCAGACAGAATTTTGTTTTCTACTAAAGTTTTGTGGGCCCCAGTAATATGCTCAGTCACAATCTTTGAAGAACACCATGAACTGCGTCCATTTCCTATCCCGTGGTTCTCCTTAGTGAAATTGCCTATGAAGTGCTAAATTAAGTTTTAGGCCGGCCCCCCAAAACAATCGGTCCTGGGTTGAGACTGCCCGAATCCATTTCCCATAGGATCCTTAGAGTCAAATGACTGAAGAATCTTTCATCCCATAAATAGTAGCTAGATTCAAAGCAAAGTCCCAGGGGTGAAAGACAAGTGTGCTAACCTGCAACATCTTCCCACTCAATTATTTAATGTAAATTCTCATGCTGTAATTAGTAAGTGTGAGTCAACATCATCATCATCATTACCAGAATGCATTTCACAGTGTGAATGGCTGTGGCATCTTTGTTATTGGCAGCCCAATGGAGTGGGATTTTGCCCTCAATGTCTGGAATTCCTATATTGGAATCATGTTTTATCAGTAGCTTCACATGCTCGGGGTGGTTGTAGTAAGCACTCCAGTGCAAAGCTGTTTGCTGCAGAAATTAATAACAAAATAACATTGTTAGCACAGAACATATTATATCATTGTCACTGCAGAACATACTTCATCATTGTCAGAAGAGTAATTTTAGGAAGGGTTAAAGATACATGGGATATTATACGTAAATATATTAAAATCAGTTTACAGTATGCTTTCTGGGGTGGGGGAGAGACAAAGAGAGGGTGGCAAAAAAAGCTTTTAAACTTTTTAGAAAAAAATAATAATAATGGATGTCCCTTTAAAAGGAAGGGAAAGTCTGACTGGAGTAAAGCAAAGGTAAGTGAAAATTACTTATTTTTATACTGTACTTATCAATGTAAACCAATGATTATACTGAAGAGGCAATTTTCCAGTATTTTTGAAAAAAAACCTCAGCAAGTTTTAAAACTGTATGAACACAATATACAAGTTATATAATAATAAAAATGATCCTTGCATTTGATATAGCGCTTTTCACGTCTTCTAGATGTCTCAAAGTGCTTTACAGAATATACTGTAAAGTGAATTGACTGTATATTTGTGGGAGAAACTCGGCAGTCAATTGTGCATAGGAGTGTCCCACAAACAGTCGTGGATTGAGTGACCACATTATTATTTTTTTTAAAAAGGATTATTATCCCTGGAAAAGTGATCCGCCAATCGACTTACAACTGGGTTTCTACTTACTGCTAGGTAAACAGAGATGTGTGGAGTAAGGAAACTTGCCCAACATTTCGCCCTGCTGGGAATCGAATCCAGATTTCTCGCTTCTGAAGCAAGTGCTCTAACCATTGAGCTACATGACTCCACTTTATATATGATTATATAAAAGAATAATCATAATTCCTTAATTATTTAAGTTATATAATTACAACCAAGCAATAAATTACTTTGAACTTGGAAGCCGTTTTTAAAGTAAGAAATTACTTTAAACACAAACAATTTTTTACAATGTCTTATAATCCTAACTACAAAGCATTGAAATAACAGCAGTCACAAAGTCTAGACACTGGACCATGTCATATAGAAACACTCCACACAAAGCAGAGGAATACACTTCATTATTCTAACCTCTTAAACTACCTGGTGGGGTGCTGCACAAATCTTAGCATAACATATTTTGCAAGCATTCCCTGATGTTAGTATTGTAGATAATAGTTCAACATGCACTAAAATAGCCTTAAAACAGAACAAAGACAGTTAGAACGGAGGTCAGGGAGCATTTCTTCACGCAAGAGGGTTGTGAAGATGTGGAATGCTCTGCCCCAGGAAGCTGTAGAGATGGAAACAATAGGGATGTTTAAAAGAAAGACAGATATTTGCGTAATTAAGATATTGAGGGGTACGGTGAAATGGCATGGCTTTGGGAATACAAGATCTAGCAAGATCCAATAAACAACGCAGGCTCGATGGGCTGAATGGCTTCCTCCTGTGTCATCTTTTAGTACCTTGTTTCTATCCTGTGTGTCAACCTCTCCTGGTGCCATAAATTTCAGTAGCAAAGCCAAACACTTAGCACTTTTGTGGCGTGTGGCCAAATGAAGTGGCGTCATCTCTTCCAAATCCTTCTGCATCCAGTTTGCTCGACGACTAAGCAGCAGCTTCATGAAGCGGTAATTTCCCTGAGGAAACAGAAAAATCATCAGCAAACCCTTTTCTTTAATAATTTAAACCCATCCTTTTACTTTAAAGAGGAACTTTTACTTTACTTTACCATCATTTTCCAGTGCATTCCCACCAGCACCAAACAGGAATCATCAATGCTACTTTATGACAGAAACTAAATTCCATTCCGTAATATTTTATTTCTCAGGTTTTTCTACAATAAATTGAGGCAAATGGACTAAATAATCATCAAACGCTTACAAACTGTTTCTTATTAAAACAATAAATCAGTGATCCAGATTCATTTTTCATACCACAAAAATTTGAGTAATCTCTGAAATATTGGTAAATTAGCCACAAGCTCTAAACTTGTTAATAATCCTTACATTTTATATAGCACCTGTAACGCTGAAACATGTCAAAGCATTTCACAATAATTGCTGTTAAGTATAATGGTTCTATAGACACAGGGAAAGTGAAAGGAATTGGGATAAGGATGGATTGCTTCTTGAAGGAGCAAACACCAACATGAAGAAATGGACTGAACGCTCTGTACTGTACATTTCTATGGTTCTGTGATAGTAATGGTGTACTTTTGCCCACAATCACACTGCTGTTCAATATATCCTGTGAAGTGCTTTGAGACGTCACAACAATGTAATAAAGCGCTATATCAAATGCTAGGATTATTATTGTATATAGGCGAACATGTCAGCCAATTTGTGCACAGTAGTGTCCCGCAAACAGCCAAGAGTTAAATGGCGAATATGACAGGAGGATTGTTGCCTATGACACTTCTACAAATGAAACAGAATTATATATTTTTATATACATAGATTTTAATTTTATCAAAGAAGTTTAAAGCTTGTAGTGTCTTACCAGAATTCAGAGGTGATTTAAATCCTATGCTATGAAAAATATTCTAGGATTTCTATCAGAATAATGCCAGCGAGTCTACATGAGCAGACAGAGCACATGTGGGGTGCTCAACCCTGGCTTAACTTGTCACTACCACTTAAGTCATCATGCTGTTCAATATCCTGCTCACATATATGTATTTATACATATGCCTAAAAAGAAAGCACACGTGGCGATCTAAAGATATGTAGAAAAATACTTAAGCAAGCATATATAGAATAACTGTATTGTGTTTCTGTCCATTGTGGTTTCTGTGGTCTTCATCCCTATTATTTCCACGATTCTTTTGATAATCTTATACTTGCTGCACCTTACTTATGGAGAATAAAGATATAAAATAAAATATTTCTGCTGATCTACAAGAACGTATCAAGAGGGCATAATTAAGGATTACTATGGTACAATTGTAATGGCTGATTGTTTTTCTTCTGCATTGGAATTTCTATACAATAAACTCCTGATAACTCAACCCTGGCTTAACTTGTCACTACATCTTAAATCATCATGTTATCAACATCCTAGTCACATTTATTTATATATTTATAGATATGCCTAACTCCCCACTCTGGATAACTTGTCTCTCAGCCCTTTTCACTTGGAGTGACAAGTTATCAGGAGCCTACTGTAATTCTATAAGTCAGCTCCCAATAGTAGAATCTCTATCCGCTAGCTGTGGTTACAATTCTTTTCTTTCACCTTCTGATAAACAACCAGACAGTTCAATCAGATGTAAATTAAAGTCAGAAGAGATGCCTCAAGTAGCTGAACACATGACTATCATTCCAAACAGGAAAGTCATGAGCTCCAGCCTCAGGAATTACTTTCACTTCAATTGCCTTAATTGGACAGCCTTGATCAACACTCAGTAGGTTTACTAAGCAAAATGCCAATAGCGTCATGTTCAATCTGAAAGGAAAGAAAAAAAGTGAGAGTGCCTTGCTTAAACAGCATTTCCAGTTAAATGATCATTGGGCAGTGAATTTAAGGAGAAAACGCAAAATACTGCAAATGCTGGAAATCTGAAACAAAAACAGAAGTCGCTGGGAACACTCAGCAGATCAGGCAGCATCTATGGAGAAAGGAAAGTGAGTCACTGTTTCGGGTCCACGACCCTTCGTCAGAACGGATCATGGACTGAAAAGATTTGGGTCCATGACCCGTTCTGATGACGAGTCATGGATCCGAAACGTTGACTCACTTTCCTTTCTTCATAAATGCTGCCTGATCTGCTGAGTGTTCCCAGTATTTAAGGAGAACCCACAGCCAAGGCTATTTTGGCTTGCTCAGGAAGAAAATCACAAAGCCATGTAACCAGTAGAAAGAAAAAGCTAATGATTTCCTAGGAACTCACTGCAGGAAAGATCAACCTTGCTTGCTAACAAATAGTCATGTTAACTGGAGGGTTCCCAGTTAAAATGTCTTATGCCAATTCTAAAGACAAAACCAGATGCATGTGCTTTACATGTCAAGCCTTACGTAACCTGAACATAAAGTGTATAAAGTCAATTCAGTCAATAATAGTTTATTTTTCATTATGAACTCAATAATAAAGATAATAAGTGTCTTGGCCAACAATGGCACTATTTGAAACAAGGGAGATTCTCTCTGTATCCTAGCCAACAATTCCCCAGATAAAATTGGACATTCACTTCATGGCTGTTTGTGGGCCATTGCTGTGTGGAAATTGGATTCAGTGCACTATATTAGTAAATTTTGTGAAGTGCTTTGAGACATCCTTCCAATGTGATAAGGTACTATATCAAATGCAGGGATTATTATGGTTCATTATGGTAAATATAATGATGCTATAAAAGTACTTTGACCAATCCTCATCTTTAAGAAGGAAATATTAATTTATACTTTCATTATCATATTAAAGTTCTGATCAGTGCCAGCAATAAAATAGTTCTAATACATAAAAATAAATTTGTCTAACAATTTTATAGCAACATCTTACACAATTCAGTAACAAAAATTAGTTTGATCAAACTTGTGGGTCAGCAGCAACAAGGGAAACATTTTCATCTTCTAAGTTGTCACAATTAGCTTTATGAAAACACCTGACTGGTAGCAATCAATAAGACCCAATTTCCTGCATGTTCAAAGACCACTTTCTACTTCCAAATTTTAAGATAAAAACATTGAATAGAATACTCAGTGCCTCCTCTTGAAATGAAGCTGTACTTTTTCTGTTTGGTTGCCATAGGGAGTCTAACTATCTCATTCCTGTAACTTCTGAAATATGAGTCGGTCTCATGGAAATTAAACTTTATTTCACAGGAACACAATGAGCATCACCCCTTTTCCTGCACTGAATACGGTGATAATTCTTATTTTCAATGAATGTTGGATAAACAGATATACTATTGTATTGTGCATATGTGACACCCACCTCCTTTCAATGTTACTGAAGGAATTTTAATAAGTCAACAAACACATCACCATTACCGTAACATTATCTTCACTTGGGAGAGCTGCTGCAAACTCAGATTTTCTTTATGGTGTTTTTTGATGAAAAAAATATACTCAAAATGAACAGGCTATCTGTGCATTTCCCTGGCACTGGCAAAATGCCATGCATGAATGCCAATCACAGAAGACTGACAGGCATGCTATACAATGATAAAAGTGCCATCTGGATAGAACATTTTCCTTTATTTTATTATCTAAATCACCATGACGACAACATGACTGGCTAAATTTTAATATATTCACAGAGCTGTGAATAGATTTTGATCCTTTGTCCCTACCCAGCACAATCATCTATCTATATGCAGTTGCTGCTTGCCTTTGTGCCTATATTAAATTATTTCGACCTCAATGGTACACACACAGCGTGTTCTCTTGCACTGTCCAGAATACATTATTTTTGTCAGTTATTATAATGGATTAAGATGGCATTCGAAAACATTTCTGCATTGTACTATTAAGATTAAAAATGCACAAGTAGCAAGTTGCTTGACATTAAATGGGAAGAATTTTAAAACAAAAGGAAATGTTATACCAACAAGAGAGCAAGGGCCAGCACCACTACAGTCACAAGCATCATCTCCAAATCCTGCAGAACTGCTGAGTAGAGATTTTTTAAAAAAAGTAACAGCTTTTTAAAAAAAATCTCAGTTTAACTATGCTGCTTAAATGAACTTTTACTGCCACAGTAACCACAGGAAGTCTTTGCATGACCCTATATAGGTTATTTCATTGGTATGAAAAGATTCTGAACACATTTAAAAATCCTGATGAAACGCTAATATTTAATTTGTGATTGACCATTTCTTTAATAGTTGAAACACTTTCAGAATGCCAAATAAAGTTATTACTGTACACCTTTCAATTTCTTTGAAGCGGTCTCAGGATTCAAAAATAAATAAAAACAAAGGCATTGAATCTCACGTATTGCTTGCACCACAATCCTTGGAGCTCATTAGAACCATAAAGTTGCTCTCTTGCAAATGAAGTTGCAATTGGCTATTTCATGTGGCTCTTTGTGATGAAATTTAAACAGACACTGCAAAAAAAAATCCATGCAATTCTGTCTCTGGGGACTTCCAACTCCTCCAGCATCAAATGGAGATGCTAAGTCACATTATTTCCTTTCGTGTTCAATAGTTCTGGTAACTGCACCTTTTCTGAATCATTGGGCAGTGAACAAAAATTTGAACTTCATTCATATCAACTTAAAATCTATTCTTTATTATGTTTAGAGGACAGTATATTTCAAAATATTTAAAAACATCATTATGTATTCAAGGCACTTCCATGTGAAATGTTTAGAACTTTCATGGCACAGGACCTCTTTGGAGTCCGATGTGAAAGGCGCTATATAGTGTAAATCCTCTGTAAGTAGTCTAAATCAGGGCTCCCTCTGCCTCCTTGTTCTCCTTGACCTCTCTGCCGCCTTTGACACTGTCGACCACTCCATCCTCATACACCGCTTCTCCGCTTTACTCAATCTTCGCGGACCTGCCCTTGCCTGGTTCGATTCCTATCTCTCTCACCGCCCACTTTGTTGCCTCTATCGGTTTCTCCTCCAGCCCCCGCACTGTCACGTCTGGGGTCCCTCAGGGCTCTGTCCTTGGCCCTCTCCTCTTTAATATCT